AGGTAGGAAGGGAAGGAGGGTAGGAAAGAAAAAAAGAAAGAAAGGAAAGGAAAGTATGGATGGAATGGAGGAAGTGGATTAATAGAAGGGAGGAAGGAAGCAAGGGGGAGAGAGAGAGAGAGAGAGAGTGAGATGGGGAAAAAAAGAAAAGAAAAAAAGAAAGGGAGGGAGGAAGAGTTTCGATTTGGGAATGTGATAAATGGTTTCTTCAGTCCCTTCTTTCACAGAAGACCCCGAAGCCTGAAAATGTAGGGAACTTTCTTTCTATTACCAGGTTTTCTCCTAGTAGTTAGTTTCCTCACAACTTTGAAAATATTTAAATCGAAATCTTATATAGGTGCCAAGAACGTTGTTGATACCATGATGTTTTACGATGTAAAAAAAAAAAAGAAAATTAATAAAAATTATTTATAAAAAAAGAAAAAAAAGAAAAGGAAGGGTGCCTCCTGCCATGGAATCTCCGTACCATGTCACATTGTGCTGTGAGAACGCATGACTTGAATTAAGCACTGACACTCTCCCTCCCTCCCTTCCTCCCTCCCTCCCTCTCTCTCTCTCTCTCTCCCTTTTTAGTGGTTCAGGTCACTGTGGTTAAAGGGAACATTTTGCAGAAAATGGTGGAGAAGGCCATGAAAAATGGGGACAATAGCAAGATGATCAAAGGCATCAAAGGGTAAGTCAGGCTTTTTGGCCCCACCAGGCTTGGACAGATCTTGGGGTGCAAACCCCCAAATTTCCAGCCAGCAGTCGAAGACCCAACAGATGGGAAGAGGAGGGCGAGACCTTAGTTCCTAGTCAGAACGCCAGTCTATGAATCTGTAGAGAGTCTCAGCTATCCAGGTGCTTTTTACAAGAGGCAGTTGGACTTTCTTGTTTCTTCTTCGAAGACGTTTTCCTTCTCATCCCAAGAGGCTTCTTCAGCTCTGAGTGGACAGTGGGGAAGTTGCAGACGGCTGGTCACTTGCATCCGTTCAGAGGGATGTTGAGGCCGCTTGGAGGGTTCTCTGTGTCCTCAGGGCCACCGGAGGGGTGCAAGTGGTTCCTGTAGTCTGCAATTTTCCCCTCTGGAAATCCATTCCTACACCCACACCTTCCAAAGGGGGTTCACCCCCAATTCCCAAATGGGAAGGTAAGCGTCACTTCTCATCCAAGAAGCTCCAGTTCAGCTGTAAACTGAAGAAGCTTCTTGGGTGTGACAAGAGAAATGTCTTCAAGGAAAAACAAAGGAAGTCCAGTTACCTCTTTGGCCACAACCTTGACCTGGACGAGGGAGAAACTCCACAGACAAGAATGGAAAGGCTTACTTTTGGATTTAATCTTGTCTGGACAGCCATTTGTCCAGAATGCTCCATCCCTGGAGGTTTTTAAGAAAAGACCGGACAGCCGTTTGTCTGGAATGGTTTAAGATCTCTTGCTTGAGCAGGGGGTTGGACTAGAAGACCTCCAAGGTCCCTTCCGAGTCGGATATTCCATAGATGACAGTCCACCCGCAAAGAAATCTGGTTGGTGGCCACCTCAAAGGACATCAAGAGATGCTATCATTCTCCTGAGCATCTTTCGATTCGAAAGATAGCGATGGGAGCATGATTGGAATTCAGCTTCTAGAAGCCAAAGATAGGTCTCTCTTTCGGCCCCCGAGAAGTCCTCCTGTGCAACTCATTTATCAACGTTTAAGACGGTTCTCCAAGGCCTTCATCCAGTGCTCCACGTCTGCAAAACATCCTCTCCGCGGCTATTTTTCATGCCCTCTTCTTACTCTCACAGGTTGTCAATTAAAGATCTAAATATACCCGATACTACCATGAACTTAAAGCCACAGGACGGTATAAACACGAGCATGACTGTAAACATCACAGTTTCTGGGAAAAGGTGAGTGAGTGAGAATGTGTGTGTGTGTGTGAGAGAGAGAGAGACCACTTTGGGTCTTGGTCCTGGATTTAGAAGAGCCATTGGGTAGGTCTACTCTAATGAAAAGAAAGACTAGGGGGGATAGGATAGCACCGTTCCGATATTTGAGAGGCTCCTACGAAGACAAAGGGGCGCCAACGAACACGGTGGGACAGCGGCTAAGGCGCTGAGCTGGTCGATCAGAAAGGTCGGCAGTTCGGCGGTTCGAATCCCTAGCGGCGTGTAAGGGAGTGAGCTCTCGTTACTCCTCCCAGCTTCTGCCAACCCAGCAGTTCGAAAGCGCGTAAATATGCAAGTAGAAAAATAGGGACCCCTTCGGTGGGAAAGTCACAGCGTTCCATGCGCCTTTGGCATGTCGTC